TGAACCAATTGTCGGTCCAGAGCCAAAGATTTCTTTACTGAATCCTGTAGAAAAGAAAAGTAATAATATAAGCTAAGTTGCTTGTTTCCTTTTCTAGTGGGAGTGAAGGATACAAACTTTAAAATGTTGCAAGAAAAATTGTCTTATTTCTATAATTTTTTGTGAGATAAAATAGGAATTAAAAAATGATTTAAAACATAAAAATTATTTTACACATAAAGGGATACTGAAAAGTCCATACCCCAACTCACTTAAAATCTGATCAAACATCAAAATTTCTTAAGCCAAGAACACTTCAGTTTATACCAGTGTTTCTCAAACCGTGTGCTCAGACACACTAATGCACCCTGAAAAGTAGCCAGGTGTGCTACAAGTTAACTGAAGAGTAATTTATTAATTATTTTTATATTTAGAAACAATCTTTATTTTTAAGGATCTAGAGGCTTCCATGTCTAAGTCTGTCATTTTATGTTTTAAACTGGATATTAAATTCCATAATCTTTTAAGATAATATTTTCCCTTTTGCCATCCTCAAGGGATTTACATTTGTCGTTATCGGCATCTCTAAAAGAACATATTCTTCATAAACCCCTTTAAATGAAAACTCTACTGCTAATCTTTTTTTGGGGAATGCTAAACCAAAATTTCATATTTTCAAATTTCATGAATAATTTTCTTTATTAAAATTTAAAGTGTGACCCAGAGTTTTAGTTATTCTACAAGTGTGTGCCATGAAGTAAAGGTTGAAAGTTTTCTTACCAAAAGAAACTAAAACTTCAAAACTCCAAATATGATTTAATTTACTCAAAATTAAACACACAGGTAATATAACAAGATTACAGTTAATTATCATCTATAAACATCAATATATGCAAAGGGTGCAAAATAAAAGGTGTATCAAAGTATTCAGACCACATATTAATGCATTGTAGATCCTCTTTGGGCATTAACACATCTCTGTTCTTTTGCATGGTTATAATCATACAGATAATGAATATCATCTGTGATACATTACTTCACACCTCTTATGTTGATATTATACAGCAAGAGTTTTACAAGGGCTTACTAGTGTTCTCAAATCATACCCCATCTATTTTCAATGGGAAACAGGTCTAACAACAGCATGGGCATCATGTGGGTAGGCATTATTCTGCTGAAGAGCACATCGCTTTCTAGTGCTGTTCATTGTTCTCTCCACAAACAACAAAAGGTGAGCAACTTATAGCCCCTACCCGACCATGATACTAGGCCAAACCTTCAATCGCCTCTTTTGTGACATCACTGGAGATGTGCATGACAGGATGGTATTGTGGTACAAGATGAAAATGGCTAAAAGGTACATGTAATCACAGTCAATTCGCAATGGTCATGCTGATATTCCTGGGGCCACAATTGCTCTGTGTTGGGGACAATGCTCTGAATATACAAAGCATAAACCATGGACAGTGCCTGTATCTATGTGGTCATCCAGAACCTAGTCTACAAGTATAAGAATGTTCATCTGACCACTCCTATTATCAACACATCTAAACACCATCAACACATATCATGTACAACAAACACAGCAGTTCTCTGAAATGACTATTTGTTTTCAAAGGGCCCACAATCTAACCCCTCCTCTGAGACAGTTGTAATTGGAAAAAAAAAAAAAAAAAAAGCATGTGTGAATCTCTGTGGGAAAACACCTGCTTAGACAAGACACTTTCATTTGAAATTTATCACAATACATGTCACCCACAAAATCTCAGATACAGGCAGTGAACTGCTACAAGTTTCACTACATCAGAAAATAGCTAAAGACTGAAAATTTTATCAGCATATCTACTACATTACTAGCATGCACATAATATACATGGGTCCATTACCATTGGTATTCTTCTTCAGGATATTAAACTTGTATTTTTCTTCAATTCACTCTTAGAATGTCCCAGAAATGGAGCATTTTGTCAAAGTTAGATTTGACCTATATGATTGATTTGTTTGTTTAATGGCATATCAACTCCTTTATGGGTCATTTAATGGCAAAATTTAATTTTCTTGGGAGCTTTGAAGTAATAAAAGTATGGTGTATGTTATTCTGTTTTCACAATAGAATACATGGTAGATGATACTCAGCTTTTGTGCATATACAGTGTAACCCGGATATAAGAGAGATTTTCTCTGGTCCCAAATTAGAGCATGTGTTAATGTATATAAAATAGACCAAACCCGGATATAAGAGACTTCTTCTCTGGTCCTGACAACTCTCTTATATCCGGTTACACTGTACATGTTTGTATGGACATAATTACTAGAGGTTTGGACTAAAAAAAATATTTAAGAAATTGTAGAATATTATATGGATTAATGTCTTGAAACAGTTCTTTCATGGTTATTCTACTTTAAATTGGTATTGGTGTTCATTTTTTTATATAAAAGTGTATTGCTGGTATTTTTTACTATAAAAACTTGTTTTTATAGTTTTATAGTGTTTTGTTTGGGAGGGGCGTCACTATTTACCTATAGCTGGGACCCTAACAGGTACTACCACCCTGGATCAGGGGGGACATGGGAACAACAGCAATTAAAGGTAGTTCCACACTTCTCAAAACTATCAATCCCCAGATCAGCAGCCTTACAGCCAAAGGTAGTTTATTTTTGTACCCAGGACAAGGTTATAACTTATATCATTTATATCAATTAAAAGAAAAACAAGAAAGTTTAACACAACATTGCTCTTTTTCTTATTTATTTTACGTATTTTTATTCCTTGTGATCATGAAGAAAGACAGAAAAGACATATCAGAGATACTGTTTGGTTTCAGCAAGAAAAAGAAGACAGAGGATGAGATAATGCTCACATGCTTATGTCTGCTTCAGTGAAATTGAAAAACTTGCCAATTTCAAGTCTTTTTATTCATACCCTCTTACTTTTTTAAATAATGACCTGCATTCATATTTGTTCTAGCATACTTACAGACAATAATGGGTATGCCCCATTCACATAAATACAGTAGTAAATACTGTATGTTGGTCTGCAGTTGGAGATTCATGGTGGAATTCACTTGACTCACTTCTAGCAGTTGATTACTACTTCTACATGCCACTGGCAAATCTTATGTGTGTTGTTCTTGTCCTAAGTATTATTGTTCATTACCAACTTCATGTGATTATTCTATTCAGTAACCTTCCCTAGGTTACAACAATATTTACAATTGTTATTGTAATATTTTGTTAAACTTTTTAAGTTCAAATATTTAACAATCCAATATGGAGAATTTCCATGGGCATTTTGTAATTGTGAAACTTGGGAAGAGCTTATTCAATCATTAATTTAAGAATTAAGATTCTTCAGAAAATTCAAATAAGAAAACAATGAAATTTTTAAAGATATTATTACTTGTTATTATATCCAAATAGCAATTATTATTAAATTTATTAGGATAAGCAAATATTATGCAAAAATCTTGAGCAATTTTTAACAAAATCTTTTATTCAGGCTCCTAAGTCTTTCTCAAAATTTTTTTATGCAACTTCTCAGGTAATTTGTGTATTTTGTCATAATTCAATTTTGATTAGATTAATTCTTTCCAAACTTTTTCTTGAACCTGCAAAATAGTGAACAGTCTGGAGAATACATCATATGTGAAAGGATTTCCCATCCAAGGTCAGGGATAATTTGCAAGAATCACATTTGCAAAGACGCACTAAAGTTAAACAGATTGTGCAAGCAATAAAGAGCTGAGTTGTCGTTATCTATATGCCATGTCCCTTCATGATGTAAGCAATCATAGCTCTCCACAATTTCCTGTCCTTTTTAGCTCTTAATAAATTTTGTCTTTTTGTTATCTCTCCTAAACCTTGTTCCACCATCCATTTACTCAAACTTGCCAGGTAGGTTATGCATTGTTTCCTATGTCCCTCTTGCCTTCAATCTGTCCTGTGAGTATCACATTTTCCAAGTCCTCTTTCTTCATTAACTACCCTAGAAATTTCAACTGTCTCTTCCTGATTTTAAGTATAAGTGGCCTTTTTGTTTCCATTTTTTTTCAAAAACTTCATCATTGCTCATAGCTTCAGTCCATGGTATTCTCAGCATCCTTCTGTAGAACCACAGGAGTACAAATCAAAAAAAGTCCTTTTAAGATTTTCTGGGTTCAGACAAAAGTGCTTAGAACCAAATAAAAGATTCCATGAGAAAAATTGCTAAGAATTGACAAATTGGTTTTCATGTAATCGTTTTCAAGTTCAGAAATATTCAGTTTGTTTTAAAAGTAAACCTTCAAGCAAAAAGTTTTTCCATTATTTCAATATAATTGCTTTATTATGTTTTTTTTTATATGATTAGATTACTTAGATATTAAAAAGAAATTTATTCATCTGGGCAAATAATTTTCTTAAAGAGGAAATTGAATACAATCAAATAAATTTCTTGTTGTTCAAATTAAATTTCAACATTAGGAAAAATAAATTCGTAATTGCTGGTTTATCATTTCTGCATTATTCCGCCACGATGCTTCTTAGCCCAAATGGTCTTATATTCGAATAGGCATTCTTTTAATAGATATATTTGCCTAATTTTGTAAGCAAAAACTCTCCTGAATCTTTTGCTGTCCAGCAAAAAGTTCTGGTTTCAAAGCTTGATTTTGAAGGAAACTAGTTTTGCACTAGATGTTTGTAAAGATCCACTGGTTTCTCAGCTTAAATATTCAAAGCATGATTACTGTAACTGTTCTGTTGATAGATGCAATTTTTACAACTTATCAACCCTTTACAGGTTATTTAAAGCCAGAAGATATTTTTAGATTCCAAGATTTTTTTTTATTTGAGATAATTATTTACTTGATACAAGTCTTATCAATTAACCTATAGATGTGTGTGGGGGGGGAGATGGATTCATACCTTTTTCCAAGGCGATCTGTGCATAAGTGAATGTAATGAAACCAATTGGAATTTGGAACTAGGATCTAAGATTTCTAATTCTCAGCCATTATCCATTACACCACCCACACATCCAAGCTTATAGCACCTGTTATTTCCAAGGGGTCACTCATCTAGGTACTGACCAGGCTCAACATTGCTTCACTTCAGTGATAGTAGGGAAACTGGTAGTTTCAACCTGATGTAGCTGTAAGCCTTGTAACTGTTTTAATAATACTTATAAGATGATAAGTAACTATTTACAATTTGATTAGAAAGTAAAAGGTGTGATAAGTTGTTAATGGGTAGACTGGGCAGGTTTTCAGCTTGTCCGATGACATGTGGGCCCCTGATGGAGTGGACCCCCTATATCAAATAAAATACAATAAAGAAACAATAGTAATAAAAAGGACTAAGAACTTTATAAAGATATCTGCACACTATTAGTTACTTAAGTCAAATGCAAGAGGACATTTTCAAAGATCATAAAGACAATGTTAAAAAATTCACTGAGAATTTGGAATCATACATGTTGCTTTCCATTGAAAAAGAATTGTTAGATGAATTGGATGAAGAAGCAATTATTGGCAGATTCGCACAATCATCAAGTGAATACAAATTATTGCTCTTAATATAGTGGACTGCATGCAATGCTCTATTGTGCTTTTGAACAATCTGTTCATGTGTAAATTGTTCAGTAAACTAGTTAAAAATACCAACCAATTACTTTAAATTAAAAAAAATTAAAAATTAAATTATAATATTCTGGATTTAGATCTGGTATTTAATGACAGGAATATGTACAGGACATGGACACTAATTATTAAGAAATACACTTTTAAAAAAAAAAAAAAAAAAAAATTTTAATTCTATCCTTTTTTCATACATATTTGTTTTTTTTTTTTTTTAATTTTATTTATTTGTTATGAAAATTAAATTACATTTGTGGGTAAGGTCCCTTAGTCACCTGGCAACCAATATTTTTAGACGCAGTCAGTCACTGGTTAATGGGGTTGAGTTAATTTTGAATTTAATGACAGTTATAAATTGTTAACAAAAAAAGAATATGAAAAATGATGATGGAAATACTTACAAAATTTTTGAATTCCACGTAGGCGTAACCTTTTGATTTACCTTTAAAGTTCTGGATAAGTCGGATTTCAGAAATTTCACCACACTACAAGGCCAAGAAAAAAAACAAAAAAGCTTTACAGCAAATCAATTAGGAAACATTTTTAAAGGGTTATTGTACATTTAATTCTTAATTAACTGGTTATCCCAGTTGTAATTAATTACATTGAATCGTCTTGAATGATTATAAATGAGGCCATTTTATTATCACAGAAACAAATAATGAGGGAAATATAGATTTTCTATGCAAGCCGTATTCAGAAAGACAAAAAAGACATACGCTGCTGGCCTTAAGGACAATGATAATAAAGAAAACATACCTTTTGCATTGTTAAACTCAATCACTTATTTTAAAAATTAAATTTTAAATTAAAAACATTTTAGCATTTAATAAAGGAAATTTGAATACTGGGAAATTAAGCTAAATACTATCTGGTCAAAAGTCCCTACCTAAAAGAAGTCGTAAACAGAGCAGGAAATGCCCAACAAGATATCTCAGTAGTGAGTTGCATGGTTGTCATTGTGAATAACTTCAAAAATTCACTTTCATATTAGTTGATATAAGCGTTTGGAGATAGCTGGCTGAAAAGTCTTTTCAAGTGATGAAGATGGCATCATGAAAATCATGCACTGTTTGGAATTGACATCCATTTATTTCTATAGACTTCTGTTATCCACCTACAAACATTTTCAATAGGGTTTACGTCAGGCAAACACAATGGATGGCCCAAAAGAAGCATGCTATTCACCATGCAAAAGTCCTTTGTTCTGCAGGCATTATGAACTGCATTGTCCTACTGAAAGATTAGCCTAATCTTCTAGTATTCAAATTTTCCCTATTAAATGCTAAAAAAGTTTTTAATTTTTCCTTTTCTTATTTTCATTTTTGAAGCCCTACTCAAAGTGGTTGAGTCTAACAATGCTAAAAGGTGTATTTTTTCTTTATTTTCATTGGTCTTAAGATTTTGACCAGCAGGCTATCAGAGATGCTGTTTGGTTTCAGTAAGAAAAAGACAAAGGATGAGATAATGCTCTCATGTTTTTAACGTCTGCTTCAGTGAAATTGAAAAACTTGTCAATTTCAAACCTTTTCATTTGTACCCTCTTACTCTTTTAAATAATGACCTGCATTCAAATTTATGATTGTTATGGTAATATTTTGTTAAACTTGTTAAATTCAAATATTTAATGATGCAATATGGGGAATTTCTGTGGGTATTTTATAGTTGTGAAACTCGCAATGAGCTTATTCAATTAACTTAAGAATTATGATTCATCAGAACATTAAAATAGGAAAACTTAAATTTTTACAGCTATTAGTTATTATTATATCCAAATAGCAATTATTATAAAGTTTAAGATAAGCAAATATCATGCAAAAAGCAATGATTGAGAATTAGTAGTAGTAGTAGCAGCAGCAGCTATTATATCCAACTAGCAATTATTATTATTATTATTATTATTATTATTATATCCAATGAATATATTGTTGCTACAAATTGAAATGTTTTTGAAGTCTTCCAAAGAAACACTAAATACTAATCTAATAATTGTTCAAACTATAACCTGCTTTAATTTTTTTTATTTTTAATAGGAGTAATGTTGACAGGAGTCAGCATCAGTTTTTACTTTTTCAGAAGTTTACATGAAAGTAAAACCAGTGATATGAAATCTCTTATTGTAAAATATTTTAATGAATTCCATCAAGTTGTGATTACCTGACTTGATTGACACTCATCTATTAGTGAATACAAATGAAAAAGTCATTTGAAAAGAAACACAAAATCAAATTAATTATTATCTTTCACAAACCTTGGAAAAAATAGCCTCAAGGCTGTCTTCTTCTAAGTCATAGTTGAGGTTGCTCACAAACACAGTATTTTCATTTTTTCCTTTTTCAGTCTTAGGTTTGGGGGTGAAGCCAGGAGGGGGGCCATCTATTTGTTAAAAAAAAAAAAAATTATTTAACAAAAATGAAATGCCAGAACTAAAAAAAAAAAAAAAAAAAAAACCTTGATACAGATTATTAACCATACCATAATAGAATGAAGATTTGTTGCAACTGCACTAAGTAAAACTATTGTTGTTCATATTCACTATTTTATTGCAATGATTTATCAAATTTCCTTCATTAATACAATTGGATTTTTCCTTAAAATCAATTAAAAATAAAAACAACAGCATTCAAGTTACACTATTGTCATTTCTGTGTCAAATTTTTAGTTCAAATACTTCAGACCTTTACAGCTAAGACTTACCATGCTATGCCTACAGAGTCAGATCACACACATTTCCACCATATTCCAATTGTCAGGCTGAACTTGCACTCACATGGCTCTGCCCACTGAGTATTTATTTGCAAAACAAACACTCATATGGATGCTCCCCAGAAGTCAAAAGGCTAATCACTCTCTCACCTACTTATCCACATAAATTTCAATTCCTTCTGATACACCTTATTCATTCAGTAAGCCATGCTAGATGCAGTGTGTGTGTGTGTGTATAGCGATATGATAAAAAATATAGGTTTACGATATGATTTGTTTATGAGTAAAAGTGCTCAATATCAAGGATAAAGCATGTGTAAATAAAATGTGGACTCTGCTGACCACACTTATATATATAAAAAACTTAACTCAGAACCTAAAAATTGGTGTTGTGTCTGAAATTCCAAGTTGTGCTGCTGGTGAGAAAAAATATTTATATTTATTTATATATAGTTTATAGTTCTGCTATATTGCATCGAGTACTATTTTATTAACACCAGCACTCAATGTGTGATAATTGTGTTATGATCTAATATGATATCTTGGTAGCATATAACTATAATCTTAGCTTTCTGCATTTTATTTTCACATGCTTTTGTGGCAGAACAAATTGTGCCTGCTTCACCATGACAACAAACCTACTCACAATGCTCTGAGCATCCGAGAAGAACGTCACCATGCTAGAACAACCTCCCTATTCACCTGATCTTGCTCTGTGTGATTTTCTTCTTTACACCCAACTTAAAGGGATTATCAAGAGGACCCATTTTGAAGGTGGGGGGGGGCTATCAAGAAGGCTGTAATGATAGAGCTGAGGGGGAACCAAGAAGAATCCTTACAGCCGTGCATAGAAGCATGGCAGAAAAGGATGGAGAAGTGCATTAAACTTGAAGAGGATTACTTTGAAGAGGAAACCATGTAGACTGTTGTTTGGAATTGAAATAAATTGTTTGTGATACCAGTTCCATTACTTTTCAGACAGACCTTGTACACATACATAGTGTATATAGTGGCTGTTGACTCACAAAGCGAATATGACCATCACTGACATGTCCAGTCCATCAGTTAAACTCCCCCTACCACAACACTGCATTCATTTGTTGTGTGAATGGCAGTGGCTCATAAAGCCAGTCATTGATAAAAAAAAAAAAGTACAGTTTTGAAATCATCTCCAGGTGGTGGAAGTTGTCTTTGAACATCATCACTTCCAATGTGTCCTTTTACGTGCCTTGTCAGGCCCGACCTGGACTTGAACATGAGTGCAGGTCAATCATTCAAAGCATGCGATTATGAAATAGACATATGCAATAGACTGTTGGTGTGATTTCTGGTGACTGAGCAGATCTGCTTTGGACAGACATATCCCATTGCATTGGGCACATGGCCAGGGTGGCACCTCATGGCAATTCAGGAATCCCTTCCGAACTCCTCTCTTCAGTTCTGCATATTTTTGTGATGCTTCATGGAAGATCTTGATGCCATCAGCAATACCAGCTCTCCAAGAAACCCGGTCTTCAGCTAGAGTCTTCCAGGTATCCAGACCAATACTGCACTTGTATAGTGACTCTTTAAGTCAATCTTTGTAACAAAGTTTTGCCTTGTGCTGCGGCCTTTCTCCCCTCATTTCCAAATTTCTATACATTAATTGTTTTGGCATTCTGCCATCTGCCATATGAATAACATGGCCTGTCCATCACAATCTGTGTATAATTATTTCCATAAAGAGTGAATTGGCCCCCTTTGTAGAACAACAGTATCAGGGGTGTGAGACATCCAGTGGATTTCAAGTACAGACTGAAGGCATCATTGATGAAA